AGACATGTACGTTAACTTCTACACTATTTAAGGAGGAACGGGAAAATTCGAATAAGAAACTGGAGTGCTTGTACATGCAAATAGGTCAATTCGTCTCCAAATCATCGATGTCCATCTTAAATCTTTCTCTTTGCCTTTTCGTTAACTACTAGCTAGGCGAGATTGTTTTCTGCGTTGCTATGGTGACCAGCAGTCTGCATGCCAACCTACAGGGTTAAAGGTTGGTGAATGAGCAGATATAGGCTACATTAACTCCAACGTTTAAGACCATTTACTGTTAAAATTGTGTTATTTTATCACAAAAGAGGACTACTTTCTTTTTAACTAAAAATCAACAGGGCAGTAAAAGAGCCAGAGCTGCATGTTGCCAACCCCTGTACTGTATTGAACTGGAAAAAAATCATGGAAAAAAAAATCAGTTTTTCCATGAAAAAAAGAGGAAAATTCAGCTTTCCTTGAAATGGGTCCTTTAAATCATTGCTTCACTGAAACTGTATGAGTTATATATATGATGCATTTCCGTGCTTAAACATTTGTCTGAAATATCATCCTATTCTGCTTCAACACTTCCCTGCTTTAGTGGGTGAAAACTGAGGGAATTTTGGAAAGTAATAGGCTGAGCAGAGCCATGTAGAGCACACATTTACATCCCATACTGCTTCAGGGCTTGGAAAATGTCCAAACCACACACACACACACTTATCCTCCTGGGTCGTGAGGGGGTGCTGGAACCTATCCCAGCACTCACTGGGCAGAAGGCAGGAAACACTCTGGACAGGTTGCCAGTCCATCACAAAGACCTTTCAAACCAAGCGAACGTAAAACTAACCTCACTTCCAGCCAAGACTTTCATTTGTGTTTTTTTGTCATAATTAACTGGACGTGTGTGTGCTTGTGTGTGTGTGTGTGTGGTTTCCTATGAGTGGACTCCAGGGAGCAAGGGAGCAGGTTAAATCTGCTGATCTGCAGCCCTTGGCCTTCAGTGCCATGTGTAGGTCATTAGTTAGTAATCATGTCAAGATTTATAACTAAGACTGCAGCCTTTCATTCTCTTTATGACATTCACTTCAAGGACATACAAGTTGTTAAGCTATATTTGAGTGTAATTCATTTAAAGAGGCTGGCAGTTTAATTGCAAACATTTAATCTCTCAGTGATCCTAAAGATTTTACTATATTTAAACAATATTTCAAATTTGAATAAAAAGCAAAAAAATATATATTTTTCTGCCCCATATCAGCTTATTTTTAAGCTTTTATTTTTTGGAAGAGGTCAGATGTTGATGTGTGTGAGATATCAGATCACGGAGGTTGAGCTGCATTCAACCAGGCTTGATTGTAGTAACCATTGTGGTAAGTGTTAGTGGCTAACAAAAGTAGGCTTTTGATCAGCTATCCGAACACCATTAGCATTTGGTAGTACTATGGCTCGGTGGCCTTGATAGGCAACAAATCATTTAAGCAACGTGAGCATTTATCAGGCACAACTGGTTTGTGTGAGTGGGGCTGTGGTAAGGAGCCACAGACAGAAAATCTGCCTTATGGTTTAAGGGATTAATCAGCATTTTCCAATATAGCTGCCAAACTCAAACCCAACAGAGGAAACACGAAAAAGCAAAAATCTCTCTATCGATAGAAAGTCTGACTCATTTTATCAAACCAATTCTTTCAATTTGTTCCTTTCAATTCATTTAACATCCAGTTCACCTGATTCATTTTCTGATTTCAGAGCTTGTGCTGCGAAAGATAAACAAAAACTGCCATTTACAGGCTCTGGTCTATATTTCACATTCTCTGTAACTGTACTATATTCTGCCTTCATTACATTAGGCTGACCAGGTCAGCATTTAGCTACAATGGTAACACATTAACAGGCAAATAATATGAAGAGACAGGATTTACGTTCAGAGCTTCAAATGTCTATGTTTAGGCCTGAAATGCTAATACTAATAGCTTGGCGCTAACATAACATAGGACTGGATGTATAAAGGCTTCTTATAAAGGCCATTAAAAGGTTTCTTACTGTCTTGTGTGTAGCACATTTTAGCACTGTGTCTAAGCCTTACTGTTTATAACATTATAAAGGTGATAAAATGACTGAAATGGCATGTTTTATTTCATGCTGGCATTTTTTTTTTTGCATATTTAAGAGCAATGTTGTTGCAGTACTACATTCATGCTGAGGCCTACAGTTGAGCATAAACAAAATAGGTCGGCCGCCCATTTAATCACTCTTTAATTTGTTTTAGATTTGAATTGTTCTGGCCATTTATAGTCGGCTTCGATTGGGCTGACGTCGACATAAACTACTGTTGGCAAGGATTACAAATTAGCAAAGGATTTGAAGTACTCATTTACTATGAAGTACCTGTTTACTTTTTTGTGCTACTTCATATCATCTGAGTGGAGTTTGAATGGGATCAGTAGATCCCTATTTGTCAGGCTGTGCTTAGTCACAGTTATATATCATTGGGTGCCTGTGTGCATCTGCAGTCCTCCAGCTGTGGTGTTCAGACTGCAGATAGTAAACATACATTTGTCAATTAGTAATTAAACCATTCATAAGCATACATCTGGCAATACAATAATACAATGCAAGCATTTAATAACTTTTAAGTAACTTTTAAGAAAAGGGCTTTTCAAAACAGTTTCACCAACTTTGCATAATCAAATTCCCTTCAAATTAACAGTACAGTGCATTAATTAATAGTGCCAGATAGATTTCTCAGCAAGTGCTCACGAGCTCAAGTGCGTGAGCACAAATCCACCAAAAAGTTTTTTGTTATTTCACTCCTCTGAACTTCTTCACATAAAGTATTTTGCATTAGATGTGCAAGTAATATGAAGAAAATGTGAATATGCTTATGAAGGGGTCAAACGACCAGAGTGACGTGATATCTAAATGCATATTTCTTAGAGCTCTGGGCTCTAAGCAATATGAGTGATGTTTATACCCCTTTCTTTTCTGTATATGGCCTGATTGGAATAACGAACGAAGTTTAGCCTGCATTAGATATTACACTAAGAATTACTGAACCAGGCACGATGGCGGCAGGAGTTAAAATGCACAGAACAATGGACTTCATATCATACAGAACTGTGCTAAAACTACCTGCGGAAATGATGTGTGAGGCCATTTATCTGGGCAGTAAGTGTTTATTTGTTAAAACTATTAGAATACGTACACTTAACAAATAAACAATGCATTGTGATTTGATGTCTCTCCGTGTGCTCAGTTAGCTTAACCATTCCTAATCTCCCCTTGGCAAAGCCCTGTATTAACAGGTACAGTACATAGTTTATTTAATCAATTCCTCCTTAAATTAAATCAGATGACTACTGATGGAAATTAACAGTCATACATTGGCTGTAGTGCCCCAAGAAGTCAGGAACCAATGTATTCTTCTAAACAATATAGCAATATATTTTTGATAACCATAAATTCCTCTTACTTTTTACTGTGTTTGTATTTAGTTGTATTTATTCTAAAATTACAGTGTTTTTTTCAGGAAAAATCACACTTACTGTCATAATAAACAGCAATATTCATGGCTGCTTAAGACTTTTTCTCAGTACTCTGTGTGGCTCTGCTCTGAAATGTGCAGCCATACCTGTATAAAGCGTCATAATATTTATAAAAAACAAACGCATACAAACGCTCTGCAGTACATGCTGATCCAGAGCACTGTACACATGCTAAATGCTTGACATATCTGATGACTATGCGAGTCGTGGTAGATGTGGAATCTTTTCAGCTTTCAAGAATTACGATTCCTTGTGAACACGAGACATGAATTATCAGACACAGCAACGAGCTTGTAAACATCTGTGTTTGACAGTGCTGCATTTTTAGGATGCACTAAAATGTGCAGCCATACCTGCTAAACGATCATGATGTTTTTTTAGTGTGTTGATGTGTCACACCTGGCAGGTAGATGTATCATCTCAACAAAAGCAAAATCCATCACTAACAGATGTAAACAAAGAAGGTTTTTCTTTTTCTTTTTGTGTAATAATGCTGTGCCTGTGCAAGACTGGAATGGAAAACTACAGCTTTAACCTTTTAAACTGCTGGGCCATAACTTTCTTCATAGAAGTTACTAAAGATACAAAAATAACTTTTTGCATATGCAAATGTTCTCTGTAGATAATGTTAGCTTATTTTAAGTCTGCATACAATAGTAATTGTAATTTCCTGTCTCTGTAACTTACATAAAACTAAAGCCCCATCCAAGCTTGATACTTACTACATAACTACAACTGACTGCTCAAAACAGATCTGATCAAGTTGTCAGTCTAGGGTTCAAAAGTGTGAGGCCTTGCATATTTACCCTGCATTTCTCCCTGCTTTTATTTTTAAACAATGTTGTTGACAGAATGGATGCGTGGGAAATAAAACAGCAAATTGATTCAGGATAGTACAGATTAGTGTTGCCTAAAGAGCATTTATAATTAATTTAGGAGTAATCTTTTTCTGCTGCCCCCTAGTGGCGATTCCACCTGTGGAATGGAAATCGACTTGAATATTTTTAATTAACATTAGCAAATAAAATCTTTCCCCCAGAACTCTCAGATCATCAGATTAACTAGGGCACTGTTGGCTCTCTGTGTATGAAATGACTCTGTGTTGAGCTGCTAGTGAGCAATGAGGGGTGCAAGGGGGGCAGGGTGCAAACTTAAGTTATCGAAAGGAAAAATGCATAGCTGAACTGAGGGACCTCCTCCATATCAGGCAGATTTTGCATTTCATGGCTACTGTGAAAAAGGGTTAAACTGGAAAAGGCTAACATCTTGCTATTTCAGCACCGCACAGCGTGAGAACAGCGCATGCTTATCCTGTTCAGCCTGACTAAACAAACTAGGATGTTGTTCGAAGCATTGCTTGATGAATAAATCATATTTCATCATGCTATCTTGTATCAGTTATCCATGACCTGATTAAGGCTGTTAAACAATAGAGTGTTTGAGTCTGATGGAGCTGTGCCTGTACTGTGTGTGCAGGAGTTCCGCGGCTGGTGCTGGGAGGCCGGTGGGACTGCCTGACTGCAGGGGACTCATGCTCCAGTGACGAGGCATGCAGTCCACGGCTGCGGACGCTGCGGCAATGTGTGGCGGGCGGCGGCAGCGTGAAGCTGGGGCCTGGAGCGCGCAACCACTGTGAGAACGCTGTGAACGCTCTGCTGGCCAGCCCGCTACACCGCTGCCAGTGTAAACGCGGCATGAAGAAGGAGAAGAACTGCCTCAGCATCTACTGGAGCCTCAAGCAGTCTGTGTTACACGGTAAACACACACACACACACACTTCAACCAGACACTGACAAAGTCATGCAATTATAAATACACACCAGGCCGTGTTGTTCCCAGAGCCATTTCAATGAATAATTAAACTGTATGTGTACTTTTATATTCGTATATTTCTAACTAGGCCTGTGCCAGCAACAGAATCCTCTTATTCAGGTGACCATGTGGAAAATAACTGCAGTAATTGGCTAAACCAGGTTTGAGAGGAGTGGTTGTATATTTTCACTTTGTTTGTCCTTTGATTTTACAAAAAATAAGCTTCAATTCACAGTCAATCGCTGTGCTTGCTCTTGGTCATTTTAGAGTTAGGAGCTGTCTCAAAATTACTGGAAGAAAAAAATGTGTTGCTGTTATTATTGTTATTATTATTATCATCATCTCTGTAAGTACATCTTCAGATGCTTTCAGGAACATCACTGATTATGTTCCCAGAAGCATCAGCAGATGTGCTTACAGAGCTACCACAAATAATGATAGTAATAATAAAGGTAATAGAAACACACTTCCAGTTATTTTAAGGTGGCTCCTAACTCTGAAGAGGATGTAGGAATAAACAAACAGTAATAGTGTATGAGTTAAGGTTTAATTTGAGAATTCTGAGAATTCTGGGTAATGTCTGATGTCTGAAACCTAGTGATGTGGTCTTTTTGTACAGGCATCATATCTGCCTGATGCATCTGTACAGCATACAACCCCCGTCTTCCCCAGCCTCCCCCTGAGCATGTTCAATCAGCGCAGCTCAACAGCTAGGTTTCTAGAAGAATTCATACATTTTAGGTCCAATAAAAGTGGTATTATAGTAATAGATGGGGGAAAATCAAATTTTGCTTTTACCCTAAATGTGGTTGATTAGCCAAGACATGTTTGATGTTCAAATTTAGCATTTTTAGATCAGGAGCTACTAGGCTAATGATACTAAAAACACTGAAAGTCAATAGTCACCCGAATCATTTCAAGTAAATACACATCCAAAACTTCTCTGAACTTGCTCAAACCACATCAGAGTCTTCATTTAGATTGGGCCGAGAGGTTCATATGGTTTAGACCACAGTATGACTCATTATGAACTGTCTTTGTTTAGCTAAAAGAATGGGCAGCCATTTATGATAACTGGAATCACTTTCTTTAGCTCAATTTGGTGTCATTCCACGCAAGACAGCCAAAGACCAGGCTAAGGGAATTCACAACACAGAAGCCCTGTAGGGTAATGTCTATGAATTTGAAGATCACATTTTTTTAACAAATGGGCCTCATATCTCCTCATATCCCTGTTGCCCTTTCATGATAAATGGACCAAAGAAATGGCCTAAATGACTTCAAAACAAGTCTGGTTATCATTGACTTACATTAAAAGTAAAGTATGAGTTTTCCTTTCCTTGTAAAGTTATCATGTTGGAGATACGAGGTTTTCGTTCCCACAGCAGCGATTGCGAACACATTACAAAGTATGTTAGCCGGATGCTAAACCCACTGGTGGCTCCCTGGACCCATCCTTATCATAGTAAGCAAGCAAAACAAAGACAGAGAAAGTTAAGAGCAGCTACCTCAGATTCACTTCTCTGAGGTGTGATCTGTAAAAAATCAGTGATGATGTACCAGACCACCCTGGATTTCTTTGTTTTGTTTTTGCAAAACAGAATGCAACAATTCATCTTCTTGCACTTCATCTCTTTTGCAGTGGGCAAGTCTTAGACATTACTGTGTTAACATTACATGCTTGTGTAGTGCCTGTGATCCAGCCTCCCAGAGTTTCAAGGTGTAATAGTGCTGGAATGGGGAACGTTATGTGGATGATAATGTGTTTCCAATTTTAGCATGAATGTGTAAATAAGGTTTATCCATGTCGTTATACCATTTTTTAATTTAAAAGAGTTTATTGACAGTATTTGATACTGATTTTTTTATTTAAACAAGTTTATTGACAGTATTTGATACTGATTTTTTTATTTATATAAACGAGTTTATTGACAGTATTTGATACAGATTTTTAAAGTTTATTTACGAGTTTATTGACAGTATATGATACTGTTTTTTTATTTATATAAACGAGTTTATTGACAGTATTTGATACAGATTTTTAAAATTTATTAACAAGTCTACTGACAGTATTTGATACTGATTTTTTATTTATTTAAACAAGTTTATTGACAGTATTTGATACTGATTTTTTTAATTTAAACAAGTTTATTGACATTATTTGATACAGATTCTTTTAATTTAAACAAGTTTATTGACAGTATTTGATACTGATTTTTTATTTATATAAACAAGTTTATTGACAGTATTTAATACTGATTTTTTATTTATTTAAACGAGTTTATTGACAGTATTTGAAGCAAATATATCGAGACTGTAGCATATATTTATGGAAACAATCTGGGTGACTACTGACTTCTGATGTTTGTCAGCAATGTTAGCCAAGCTGCTCCAGTTTTAAACAAAAGAAGCAAAAAATTCTATACCAAACATGTCTTGGCAGATGAACTGCATTTGAGGTAAAAGGAAAATCAAATAAATATTGATTTATATTAGCCAAACGATTCCTTTCGTGCAGGATGCTCTAATACCCAACGTGTTTAAATGTTCTATTATGCTCATGTGATTATTGAAACAAGTGCTAAATTAGTTTTACCATCTCTGGGGGCTGTAACCTCGGTAACTCAGATAACCATCACTGGGCAAAGGCCTATGTGTAACTGTGATTTCTCTCAGTAATTGTGTGTGTGTGGGTGTGTGTGCGCAGGACTGAGCCTTGTGGAGAGTTACCCATATGAGCCTGTGGAACGAGGGTCTGATTACGTCCGTCTGGCTTCTATTGCTGCAGGTATGTAATTTACTCTACATTCACACACACACACACACACACACACACACACACACACACACACACGTCAACATCAGTTAATGACTGTGAACATCCCCAACAGCTGATACGTTGTTTCACGACTCCCTGCTATGAAAACATTCAAACATGAAAGGCTGCAATCAAATATGCATGTTGTGTGGATTACAGGTTAATTGTATTGTAATCATACTCATGTTTCTCTAATTAGAACCTTGATACATGGTGTGTTTCCATATGCTGTTATACACAGATCTCATTAAGCCATTTAGGAGAAGATCAATTTAGTTCCTATCATTTATAAAAGTGTACTTAAAACAGCAAAAAATGCTATTTGAATCAAATGGTTGGCAACATGGGCAAGACACTGGCAGGCTGCAGATCCAGTGTGGACTTTTCTTTATTAAGGACAATCCAAAAATCCCAGTCATAACTGTGTAGGCTTATTATTTATTATTATTCTTAATATTTATTGTTTAGTAACCTCTGTGAATTATTTGGTAACTACTATGAAACTAATATGCAGGTTTGTAGTTTCTGAGAGTCAAGAATTAGAAAGTGGGCACACATACTGGGTTTAGGATTAAGCCCTTAAATGTATGGGCTTGTTATATCCTAAAGCTTATTATTAAGTACCTACATAAAACAATGTGATGCTTGCTAGGATTAAAGAATGGAGGGATGAATTACTGACTGGGCCAGTGGGCATGGCCAAATCTACCATATTAGTGACCTGCATGACTGGTCAGGGCCACCCAATGTCCAGGAGCGCCAAAAGGTCGCTAACTAAGTAAAACTTGCACGTATAAAATGATTTGAATTGTCTATTTATAGGCATTGAAATATTCAGTCTGCTTTAAGTCTATTCACATACCAGACTAGTCAGTTTCTGTCTAATAAATCAGCCATAAATATGCAAAAAGTATCATCATCATGCTTTCAATTTGGTGGACAGTGGCATCTACGTGGGCATTTTCTTTAACACACAATGTGTACATTAGTAATCATTGTGAGTGAGTGGATGCTCAATCTTTGACAACCCCGGCCAATCTTGACAAGATCTTAGCTGAGGGGTTTAGATATTTTGTAATAAATGGACAGGACAGTATTCCAGCAAAACTGCTGCAGGGTTATTATCAGTGAAGATGTCGTATGTGTGATAGAGTGTTATGTTTCTTGACTTTGTATGGAGTATCATAACTCCAAAGCCCAGGGGCACCAGAAGATCTTAATCCAGCCCTGCCAGTGGGGCTAGTGACCAGGATTCCACGACTGCTAGGGGCCTTGGGCGGCCCCAGACTAGAAGGCCTGAGGCAGCTGAAAGATTGGGGACAGTGCGCTGCAGATGCAAACAGATGAATATGTGATGACTGGATAAAAGAAAGAAATACCCCTCAGCTCATACCCAGTCACCAGGATACATATAAGCCTCCAGAAACAAAAATGTGCAGAAGTATGCCTGTGCAGGATATAATAGGCTGTTGCAGAAGAATACAATCATTTTCATTGTTTACATTGAATTGTTTCCAGAGCTGCTCAAAGTGCACATAAACAAACACAAGCTGTTTATTAACCCCTAAACAATCTGAGCCTATTACATACTAAGGCTTATTATTCAGCAGCTACAGGGACTTCAATGCAAACTAATGGAGCTATTCTTAGCTTACAGAAGTGTGTAATATTGCTCTGTGCCCACTGGCGAGCCCGTGGCTTGCTAAGGGGTTAAAGTTATTTTTAGGTGCCTGTTTTTTGGGTTCTGGTTGCATTATGAACAGAGTGTGGAGGTGGGGGAGGCCTCCCAAAATGCTTGTCACGTGGGACCAGGATCTGTCCCTGAAGGAATGGAAGCCCAGTCCAAACAAAAGAGTAACAACTGGAAGAAAACCTCGAATTACACTATAGATTGGAAAACATGTTTCAGAAACTTACAAAGGCTCAACAGAGACTTCATACTTATACTGAAATAAATTAGTAAATAAAGAATGTAATAATCTGTAACTGGTGAGCATGTGTCACATGAGGCTGAAGGGCAGAACTAGAACTGGAAAAGGTTAATCCTGGACAAATCGGCCTGGTCAGTGTCTCCCAGTAGGGAGAATATTGTGACATGGTCGCAGATGACAGAGTTGAAGATGAGCGCGGAAAGAGACGTGTTGAACTGCAGGTTCGGCTGCAGATCCTGTCTCTAAACCCCCCAGTTATCCTTCTCCCTAATCGCTCTGTCTCTCTCCTGACTACACTGACAGAGGCTCAAAACAAAGTTTAAATAGAAACGTGTTATTGCAAGGCACCGAAACACAAATAAAACTGTCAGTTTGTCAGTTTGGGTTTGTGGGGTGCTTGAGGCATGAGCAGAATTATATGGGCCCGGAGGGCAGAACGTAATGAGATATTAGCTCTCTCTCTCTCTCATACACACATACACACAATGTGTGCACACAAACACACTCATGTTTTTTTGTGCACAAGCAAAGACACATGCAAAACACACTTAAACCATAGTGGGCGTGACTGCGCAGAGAAAATGGATGTGACAGAGGAACAGAATCATTTTCTTTCACTAATGGTACTGAATTAACTGTGCGCTGCTCAGGCATGAGTTTTAATGGTGGCCATTTCCAAACACTGCAAGCATTTAATGAGCAGACTCAATTTGCTCAAATTAAATAGACCACACACACACACACACACACACACACACACTCACACACAAATATATAAATGGCATGATACCACTTTTTCTTTTCCAATACCAATATTGAAACCTTAAGTATAAGCCGAGCTTCAAAATGAGCTATTTTTTATTAAAGCATTTCACTTGAGATTCACCGATTTTTCTTGAATTTCCAGAAAATTCAAAAAATTCGGTATAATTAAATGGTTGGTAAATAGTCATTCAGAGTAGTGACATGCATTGTGGAGGAACTTACTGACTCTTTACAATGATTTCTTTACAATGGTGGATCAAAACATCTGCAACACAAATATAGCCATTTTATCTGAAAGCAGTGAACCTAATGTCTTCTGAGCTTTTATATGTAATGCTGTTAATGGTAAAATAGTGGCAAATCCTACAATGCCCTGCATGTACTCTTTCAGCCTGAATGGATTTTAGAACATACACTGATCAGGCACAACATTATGACCACCTCCTTGTTTCTACACTCATTGTCCATTTTATCAGTTCCACTTACTATATAGGTGCACTTTGTAGTTCTACAGTTACAGACTGTAGTCCATCTGTTTCTCTGCATACTTTGTTAGCCCCCTTTTACCCTGTTCTTCAGTGGTCAAGAACCCCATGGACCCTCACAGAGTGGGTTCTATCTGGGTGGTTTATCATTCTCAGCACTGCAGTAACACTGACGTGGTGGTGGCGTGCTAGTGTGTGTTGCGCTGGTATGAGTGGATCAGACACAGCAGTGCTGCTGGAGTTTTTAAACACTGTGTCCACTCACTGTCCACTCTATTAGACACTGCTACCTAGTCAGTCCACCTTGTAGATGTAAAGTCAGAGACGATAGCTCATCTGTGTCACTGCTGCACAGTTTGTGTTGGTCATTCTCTAGTCCTTCATCAGTGGTCACAGGACGCTGCTGGCTGGATATTTTTGGTTGGTGGACTATTCTCAGTCCAGCAGTGACACTGAGGTGCTTAAAACACCAACAGCACTGCTGTGTCTGATCCACTCGTACCAGCACAACACACACTAACACACCACCGCCACGTCAGTGTTACTGAAGTGCTGAGAATGATCCACCACCCAAATAGTACCTGCTCTGTGAGGGTCCATGTGGGTCCTAACCACTGAAGAACAGGGTAAAAGGGGGCTAACAAAGTATGCAGAGAAACAGACGGACTACAGTCTGTAGTTGTAAAACTACAAAGTGCACCTATATAGTAAGTGGAGCTGATAAAATGGACAATGAGCGTAGAAACAAGGAGGTGATCATAATGTTATGCCTGATCGGTGTACTCTTTATTGCTTTATGCAATGCTTTTTTGGAGAGCAGCAGCTTTCTCCTTGCAACCCTGCCATGCATACTATTGTTGTTCAGTGTTCTCCTGATGGTGGACTCATGAACATTAACATCAGCCAGTGTGAGACAGGCCTTTAGTTGCTAACAAGTTACCCTGGTTTCCTTTGTGACCTTGCAGACTATTACACACCTCACTCTCAGTGTGATCTTTGTTGGTCGACCACTCCTGGGGAGCGTAACAATGGACTTGAATTTCCTCCATTTGTACACAGTCTGCCTGACTGTAGATTGGTGGAGTCCAAACTCTTTAGAGATGGTTTTGTAACCTTTTTCAGCCTGATGAGCATCGACAACTTCTTCTGAGGTCCTCACAAATCTCCTTTGTTCGTGCCATGATAGACTTCCACAAACATGTGTTGTGAAGATGAGACTGTGATAGATCCCTGTTCTTTAAATAAATCATAGTGGTCACTCACACCTGATTGCCATCCCATTGATCAAAAACACTAATTTCACCTTCAAATTATCTGCTAATCCTAAAGGTTCACATACTTTTGCCACTCACAGATACAATATTGGACCATTTTCCTCAATAAACAAATGACCAAGTCTAATATTTTTTGTCTCATTTGTTTAATTTGGTTCTCTTTATCTACTTTTATGACTTGTGTGAAAATCAGATGAAGTTTTACGTCAAATTTTTGCAGAAATAAAGAAAATTCTAATAGGTTCACAAACTTTCAAGCACCACTGTAAGTACAAGCTGTTCATTTTTCAGTGTTAGAAAACAGGAGAAAAAAAAGTTAGTGCGGTTTGTAAGTATGGGGATACTGAGAATATTTGCTCAAACTCTGTGGACACAGCTGAGCACACTGGACAGCACAAACAGTGAAAGAAAAAATGAAATATTACAACACCAAGGAACACACAGTATATTTAACAGACATTTTCAAGCATAATATCATATCTATCAGTGTTTAGTTTGTCCACTCTTTACTTTTG